TATATGGTGCAAAGGTGACATTAAAGCAATATCAAAGATGGTTGACACAAAGATGGTGACCCCGTGGCCTGGCTGGCAAAGCTCTCACTTCACACATGGAGGGCCCAGGTTCAGTTCCCCATGGGGTAGAAACATTTTAATGTGTTTCTTCACACCTGTTGTTCTGTTCACCTAACAGCAAGTAGGTACCTGGATGTTAATCATTTGGTGTGGGTCGCATCCTGGGGGACAAGATTGAGAACCCCAATGGAAATAAGACAGTCAGTCTTCGAGGATGCACTGCCTTTCTTGGGTTATCCTGGGTGGCTAACCCTCCAGACTTAAAAATCCAAACGAAATCTTATCTAACTCACTACCATTATAGTATGCTGCTCACTTAGCGACAAATTCATTTACCAATGTGGTCTTAGGAACAGAACTCTGTCGTTAAGTGAGGAGAGGCTGTATTATTATTATTATTATTATTATTATTATTATTATTATTATTATTATTATTATTATTATTATTATTATTATTATTATTACTACTACTACTGTAATTTTATTACTTGTAGGGATGACTATGGAAGGGTATACTGTATTTGTAGAGTAAAGCTGTGTTGGAGCATATGAATGTACATGTAAACATGTATACACTTTTAAAGTTTCTTTATATAACATGCTACCTCTTAGATCCCATTCCAACATTCTACCACACTATTTATTAAGAAAAACTTTCTAGTAAACTTTCAACAATTTTTTTTATTTCTCGTTTTGCAATTGTGGGCTCTCCCTCTTGATGGTGCTAAGAAAATATTTTTTTAAACATTCACCATCATTCATTCAATCACTGGCTGTTATGATTTTTTTACCATTTTCATTACAGGTGTCTACATTCACGTCATTCATTTTTCACTATTCAGTTTTTATTTCGTATTTTGGAAAGGATCTTTAAATCATCATATTCATATTGTCTGATTTCTTTTTTTTTGTGGCAACTCAATGAGATCAATTAGAAACACTAACAGACCAAGCACAGTCTTTGTAGCACAACATTGATAACATTCCCACCTGAGGACATTGTTATTCGAGTCACAATTCTCATTTTCCTGTGTTCTGTACATGTATGTTCATGGGAATGAAGTTGTTTGGCATATAATACATTAATTTTTTTTTTTATTATTAACACATTGGCCATTTCCCACCAAGGCAGGGTGGCCCGAAAAAGAAAAACTTTCATCATTCACTCCATCACTGTCTTGCCAGAGGCATGCTTACACTACAGTTATAAAACTGCAATACTAACACCCCTCCTTCAGAGTGCTAGCACTGTACTTCCCATATCCTTATGAAAACTAGAAGTGTGTTGTGTGCAGAAGTTATTTTTGTCATAATGGTGCCAGGTCAAAATATTCCAACTATAGATCTTGTTAGGTAAAAGAACACATGCAACTAATGTAACATTTTATTGTGGCAACGCTTTACTTTCCTGAAGAGTGAAACATTGCCACCATAAAATGTTGCATTAACCCTTTGACTGTTTCAGGCCCCTCTCTGAAACTGTCATTCTATGTCGCTCAATTTTTAAAAAAAAAAAAAATTATTTTTTCTTATGAAATGATAGAGAATCTTTTCCCGATGGTAATGACACCAAAAGTTCGAAATTTGGTTGAAAACTCGTGGAATTATGCTCCCGCGAAGTTAGCGGTCTCGGCGACATATGCGTATCGGCGATTTCGCCGACTTTGAGCCCAATTTTCAGCCAATTCCATTGTTCCAGTTGACCAAACTCATAGCTATTTCTTTAGAACTCCATTTTATCTATCAGCTGAGTACAAGAAACCTCCCATTTACTAATTTGGACTACCCAATATGGTGGTCAGAAATTGGCAATTTGGCCAATTTCACGCAAAATAAAAAAGATGCCAATTTCAAAATAGGGTCCAGAATAAACAAGGTAGACATTCGTGGCACTAAAATAACATATGCTCTGTTCATTAGTCACATCTCTAGCCCCCTCTTATATTATTATTGCTTTCTATTTTGATTTTTTATTCATACAAAAAAATACAAAATTTACTGTTATGCAGACGACTGCATTATTGTAAAAATGGTATAAATAATATCAGTGCACTAGTGAAAGAATATTAGACTCCCCAGTTGACGTGTATTGGACGTGTGGTGTGATTTATTTACTCTTGAACATTGGTAAAAATCGAACATTTCCGCTACTTTGATCTCAGTTTCAAGGTCGTTTTCATCATAAAAGTAATGAAAATCATCTCTATTTCTGTAATATGTTTTCCATTTTATCACCTAAGACCATGAAAACGCGAATACAACGATAAATACTATACGAAAATACACCTCAAAGTCGGCGTTTTATTCCAAAAAAACGATCAGAGTTTTTTTTTTCTCATTACGCAATGTGTGCTGCAGGATTTTTTTTATGTGGTGCACACTGACCACACAGACCCATTCTCTCACATGTGGGCCTACCAGCTTTCTCCCACTTGATTTGAAGCCGCTAGAATTATTGAGTATATATACGTCAGAAACATTGGCTCGTAAGACGTATTTATACGTCGAAAACAGTCAAAGGGTTAATTACATGTGTTCTTTTGCCTACCATATTGTCAGTAATTTTACTAACATTATTACAACTATAGATCTTGCCTTGTTGTTGTGTGTTCACAGTTTACTCAAGAAAACAAAAGAATCTTTATTGATAGAGGTACACAGCCTTGTGTTCACATAACTGCCAGGCCACCACATGAAGAAGACCGGGGCCAGGACCCGTCCTGGCACACCTTCATGAATGAATGAATGTTCACATAAAATAGAACTTAAGATGAATCTAGGAGAGTTAATACATGCTCATATACGTATATACAGTGTATAGTAGGGAAGAAAGTAGTGTGTCAGGTGAATGGGGAGAAGTGGCCAGTGCATCAAGCAAGGAAAGGCTGATAGGCTTACTGCAATCCTCTTATCCATGAATGGTGATGTGAGGATTGAGTTGTACAAGTGTATTAGCCTGATGCTCATTTTTATTCTTAAGTATGATATCAGTGAGGGAGGGAAAGGCTAAATAAATAGTGTCTTTGGTCTTTTTTTTAACATGCTGGTCATCTCCCACTGAGGCAGGGTGACTCGAAAAAGAAACCCTTTCACCATCATTCACACAATCACTAGTCTTTTACCTCTATAAATAAAGGTTCTTCTGTTTGCTTGAATCTTTTTAACACTATTTGCTGGTTATTGCCACAGTTTCACACTACAGTTTATGCTAAGCTTTTTTAAATGATTCACTGTCACAAGTTGTAAATACTCAACTAGTTACCAAGTTATAATTTTTTATGTTATTTAGATAGAATGAAATATTTGGATGGCTGTGTTATAAATAGTGATGTAAGATGAGGTGAAATTTAGAGCTGTATATTAACAGGTAAAAAGAGTCGTATCTGAATAGTATACTGAAGTAATATCATAAACATGAGTGGTTTACCATTTCCTTGGACTTGTCAGGACTAGGAGTCATCTGCTAATGATGTTAATTACCATAGTGATGTCAGTAACTTACTGAACACAGGAGGGTTCCATTTGTTCAACTCTTAGGTTACCAATTGTATACGTTAAGCTAAAATCTCCGGCTGTTGGAAAAGAGCATTTTTTTTTTTTATTGTTGAATGCATTGAATGATAATATGTATGCATTCATATATTAAGTACTCAATACAGTTAGGCATAAAAAAAAACAGATAAAGTAAAATGGCTCGAGGAACAAAGAAAGCACAGGTCCTGTCACAGACAGTGGCCCATACTGGACAAACATCAGATGCATCAGACTTGGTCCATTGATCCAGGAGACTACCAGACACTCGCTGCAGACAAAATCTGGATTCTACTTTTTCCATTTTATTCGATGATTCCAATGTGTCTGGCCAATTTTTTGTTCATAGTTTTCAAAATCTGTTAAATGATGGTCAGTTAATTTGAGGCTTTAATGTACATATTATATTTATAGAAAAGGTAAGTATACTACTGTACATGAATGTAAGACATCAGAATATTATGAAAAAATTATTCTGTAATTATGAATATCATGAATATTATATATGTACCTTATATAAAATCGTATAGTAAAATCACAGACATAAATAATTGCTGCTTAGTCTCTCTTGTAGCGTCCAAGGTCAGGTTTTCCCAAAATGCTGTGCATACTATGAGTTGTGAAATGATTGTACTATTCTGTATGTATAATGAACTGAAATAAAATTACTATTATTATTAGAGTAGTATGATTACTGTTGTTAGTATTATTACTAGTAGTAGTAGTATGTAGTAATAGTATATATTAGTATTAGAATTTTGCAGCTGTTGCCTGTTATTTCTAAAAATGCTGTATACAGGTACAGTGGACCCCCGGTTTACGATCACCTCCCAATGCGACCAATTATGTAAGTGTATTTATGTAAATGCGTTTGTATGTGTATGTTTGGGGGTCTGAAATGGACTAATCTAATTCACAATATTCCTTATGGGAACAAATTCGGTCAGTACTGGCACCTGAACATACTTCTGGAATGAAATAATATCGTAAACCGGGGGTCCACTGTATTTAGTTGCAGTGAAATTTCGCCTACTGTATAAATTAATATAACATTTTCTACTGTGTGTGTGTGTGAGTGAGTGAATTATCGACCTATGATTAGTTTCCAGTAGCACAGTACATGCATACTACCACTACAGTAGATTATTGATTATTTGATAATTGATAATTCTTCCAGCATAATCTGGCAAACTTATTCAATATAGCACCTAAATATATAATGCAAGGAAGGAAGATGTAAAACAGAGGGGCCAGAAAAAATTATGTAATCCATTTTTTTTTTTCAACAAATCGGCCGTCTCCCACCGAGGCAGGGTGACCCAAAAAAGAAAGAAAATCCCCAAAAAGAAAATGCTTTCATCATTATTCAACACTTTCACCACACTCACACATTATCACTGTTTTTGCAGAGGTGCTCAGAATACAACAGCTTAGAAGCATATGTGATCCATAGTCGTCAAAAATCTCGTGCAGTCTCCTTCCAATAGGCCAGATAATCACTGATCTACTGCTCTACCTCCTGAATTCCATTCCAATACTCTACCACCACTAGTGAAGAAATATGCATTTACCTATTGAAGTGCAAGTAGAAACTTGTGGCTACAGAAATGAAGTGATGCTCATGGTGTCCATTGTTTACTTTGTCCTATTTTTTTTTTAAATACTACAGCATGCTAATGGCTTTCTTTTGTGTTGAACAATATTTTATTACATACAAACAATGTTTTGTATTACTGCATAAAGAAATAAAAAAATCTTTTTGTTTAGTGGATGTACAGGTGCTCCTCGACTTAGGATGGGGTTATGTTCCGACAGACCCATCATAAGTTGAATATAAATATATTATGAATAAGTAACTACAGTCACTGAATAAGTAAATAAACAAATAATTACTGTAACTAGCTAAATACCAGTATTGAAAAGTAAATAAATGAATACAAGTTATGGACTTGCTGCCTTTATGCTGGGTGATTATCTTTAGTTTCATCTCCAGAAGTAATTGCTTTTGTGGTATTGTAAAGTCAAAATATCGTAAATCAAACCATCATAAGTCAAGGAGCACCTGTAGTACCGTACAATATTTACTATATCCTATTGTATCACATTTCAGCAGTCCAGCCTTGGATTTAAATAGTCCATTACTATCTGTAACAACAGTACAGTACTTGTGTCCTTCAGTATCACTATTAATGATGTTAAAAATATAATGTTAGGTAAATGGACACAGATGCAACTAATGTGACATTTTATTATGGCAACAGTTTGCAAAATGTTGCCACAATAAAATGTCACATTAGTTGCATCTGTGTCCATTTACCTAACATTTTGTGGGTAATTCTACCATTAGTACTAAAAATATAATGCCTGTGCTTGTATATACTGGCAATTATTTTTTATCCTTTTATGATTTTGTGTGATTATCTCGATAATTCATATGTACAGTAATTGTATGTACATGCAGTGGTGTTTTGTTTGTGTGCATGTGTGAGGAACAGGTGTATAAGCAGGGGCTTATCTGCTATGAAACTAATGAAGCTTAAGCTTCAGGGCCCCTAATCCCAGAGGGGCCCTAGAAGCAGTTAGTCCACATTGCTTAAAAATTTTGGGTCCAGTGTATGAGAAGGGGGTGCAAAGTGGCCCCCATAACAGTTCAAGCTTCAGGACCCCAAAAATGTAGGTCCGTCACTGTATACAAGTATGATTATTAAGCATCTTAGTAATTTTTTAGCATAATATGAAAAATAAGTGTGCCACCATCCCCCCAATGAAAAGCAGGGGTGTCACTAGCACGTTAAGAGACCATACAATAAGTGTCAGGGGCCCGAGACTGTTCAACTGCCTCCCAGCACACATAAGGGGGATTACCAACAGACCCCTGGCAGTCTTCAAGCTGGCACTGGACAAGCACCTAAAGTCAGTTCCTGATCAGCCGGGCTGTGGCTCGTACGTTGGTTTGCGTGCAGCCAGCAGCAACAGCCTGGTTGATCAGGCGCTGATCCACCAGGAGGCCTGGTCACAGACCGGGCCGCGGGGGCGTTGACCCCCGGAACTCTCTCCAGGTAAACTCCAGGTTATAAACACAGACTTGGGCTATCTTGAAGATTAATGGATGCCACTGCCTAAAAAAAAAAAGATGCCATCAGCTGCTTACACTTCGCATCCGTATTCTTTCCACTCGGCCAGAGATATCTGCAGTATTAATTCATTGACTGGTAGATTTTGTTAGAATGTAAAGTCCAGAATGGTGCTCAAGAAATGGTAAACCAATAAACTCTAATGATGTACTATACATGACAAAATTATTAATTTTAGTTTTAACTACTGATAGTCAAGACCAGCAGCATTATTTTCTGTTATTTATACAGTATCAAAACATAGACTCAGTAGTCCAATATTAAGTTTTTTATGACTAATCATAGTTTGGATTTTAATTTTATTGGTTTTCAGTGTAGTGCAGTTGTAATATAAGTAGTGATAGGAATTTAAGCAATTGTTATTATGAATATTATTCCTGTGTATCGTTGTTATATTATTCCCATGAAGGTATAGCACTCTCTTGTTATAATAATAGGTACAAGATTATTACATTTGTGGGTAAGTGCTAAACCCATATGGGACATACAGTGCCTGAGGAATAGGGGCAGTAGGTAATCAGATTTGATCTGAGGAAGGGAAAGATAGATCTTGATTCCTTGGATCAAGAACCCATCACCAGCCTCAAGGCAGTACCTTCACTTAAGGATGAAGGAAGAGGTAAAATACGCACTATAGGTTTTGCCATAATACAAGATTACTGTACATTTATTCAAATTCAAAATTTTTATTTCTTTGCAAAGTTTGCAATGTGTGGTTTACATATTACAAAATATGAAGTACAGAGAAAGCCACTAGCATGCCTAGGCATTTTTGGCAGTCTCCCACCACATTGACCATCTCCCACCAAGTTGAAGATTGAGACACTTATGTAGCATATGGGAATCTTTATTCAGGAAACGTTTCGCCACACAGTGGCTGTGGCGAAACGTTTCCTGAATAAAGATTCCCATATGCTACATAAGTGTCTCAATCTTCAACTTGTCGGTTTTTCAAACCATTCATCACATCTCCCACCAAGATGGGCGACCTGAAATAAAAAAATAAAAACACTCACCTTCATTCACACTATCACTGTATTGCCAGAGGCACATGGATATGACAGCTCAGATGTCCCTCTGAACAGCAGATATCCCAACCCCTCCTCTAAAGTGCAGGCACTGTACTTTCCACCTCCAGGACTCAAGTCCAGCTAACTTGTAATTATAGAGTTTAAGAGATATAATTCTTCAGTTTTTAGAGGAACAAAGGGTTGATATTTGAATGATTTTTTTTAGTGAAGTTAATCATACTCCAGTTGCTTTGCTTTCATCATGGAATATTATATTTTTGTAAATACATTATTAAGTACATAGACTACTTTAAGGTTTGTATGGGCTTAATAATTTGTGTTGTAAATTTGTCAAATGAATGGCTATGTCATCCATTATTGGTTTATTTGTTTGTTAGCAGTGTAGCGCTGTATGACCTTTGTGGGTTTACCTTTTAATTATGATTATATTAATAATAACTCATGGTAATATGGCAACTTTATTAAAGCCACAAGAAAAGGAGAGAAATATTAAAAATTATTTTAATTTTTCCAATACTGTAGTTTTAGTAATAAATGTAGTTCATTGAATCTTAAAATGTGTTCTATCATGGACATTTAGTTTTAGTTCACAAAAGACTTTTGGTGTTTAGATTATACAGCCTCTCCTCGCTTAATGACGTACTCGTTTACCAACGACTTGGACTTAGGATGGCTCTCTGACCAGTATGCATATCTAAATAATGTATATTAGAACTGATTGCCTCTGTTCTGTTTATTACAATATACAGTACACTACTAAATAAACATTTAAAAATATACAAAAAATGTTATAAATGGTGCAAAGGTGACATTAACCCTTTGACTGTTGCGGCCGTATATATATGTCTTAAGAGGTACCGTGTTTGGCGTATATATACTCATAAATTCTAGCGGCTTCAAATCAAGCAGGAGAAAGCTGATAGGCTCACATGTGAGAGAATGGGTCTGTGTGGTCAGTGTGCACCATATAAAAAAAATCCTGCAGCATGCAGTGCATAATGAGAAAAAAAAACCAACCTTTTTTTTTTAATTAAAATGCCGACTTTGTGGTCTATTTTCATATAGTATTTATGGTTGTATTCTCGTTTTCTTGGTCTCATTTGATAGAATGGAAAACATATTATAGAAATAGAGATGATTTTGATTGATTTTACTATAAAAAGAACCTGGAAATGGAGCTCAAAGTCGGGGAAATGTTTGATTTTTGCCGATGTTCAAAAGTAAACAAATGATGTCATTGTCCAAGAAATGTCCAACTAGCCATTCTAATATGCAGTCATGAATGGGTTGATGTTATTTATACAATTATTACAGTATTGCAGTAGTCTGCATAATAGTAAATCTTCTATTTTTTGTTTGAATAAAAATTCAAAATAGAAAGCAAGAGTAATATCAGAGGGGTGTGGAAACATGACTGATGAACAAAGAAAATGTTATTTTAGAGCCAGGAATGTCTGTATTGTTCATTCTGGACCTTATTTTGACATTGTCATATTTTTTAATTTTCGTGAAATTGGCCAAATTGCAAATTTCTGACCACGTTATTGGGTAGTTGAAATCGGTAAATGGGCAGTTTCTTGTACTCAATCGATAGAAAAAATGGAGTTCTAAAGAAATAGCTATGAGTTTGGTCGACTGGAACAATGGAATTAGCCGAAAATAGGGCTCAAAGTGGGCGAAATCGCCGATTTGTAAATATCGCTGAGGTCGCTAGCTTCGTGAGAACGTAATTCCATCAGTTTTCCATCAAATTTCGTTTTTTTGGTGTCATTACAATCGGGAAAAGATTCTCTATCATTTCATAAGAATTTTTTTTTTTTTTTTTTTTTAAATTTTGCGACACCAGGAGACACCTCAGGATTGAGGGTTGCGACAGTCAAGGGGTTAAAACAATATCAAAGATGGTTGACACAAACCCACTACCATTATAATATGCTCCTCACTTAGCAACAAATTCGTTTACCAACATGGTCTTAGGGACAGAACTCCGTCGTTAAGTGAGGAGAGGCTGTATAGTACATGGCTAGTGACTTAAAAGAATATTTTATAACTTGGTAAAGTTTTTGAAAGTCATTTGTACAGTACAGTTAATTGTTTAATTAATACATATTTATTAATAGTTTAAGTTCTCTTGTTATTTATCAGGAAGTATTAATTAATGAACAATATTTCTTTATTATAATCCTTGGCACTTCTAAATTCTTTTTCTCTATCAGTTTTCAAATTACCATAGGAATGTGTGTGTCTCTTATCTTACTTTTATATAGTGTATATTGTAAATTTTATATGTATTGTAGATTTTATGAAGTCTTTTTGGCATTTTTTTATGGCTCCTTTATTGAGCCCTTCACACTGCAGAGCTTTTTTGTGGTCAGATATTCATTCTGGAGCCTCCTATTGTTCTAATGGATAAATATATATCATTTTGTGTATCTTTAACTTTTACCTTTTTCAGTAGTTAAATATTTTATTACTTTGTAAGTTATACTTTTCTTATATGTTACCTATGAGATGGTGATCTGAGCCTTCAGAGGTAAGGCTTTGATGCTAGTGGAGGGCTCTTGATTCAAAGAATTGGGGCTTTTCTCTCCATCCTCAAATAAAACCCGATTATTTCCCACTTCTCAGGTGATGTATGACCCCTACAGGTTTAGCACTTCCCTGTGAATAGATTAATTATGACACTACTAAAAGAGCTGGAAATATCAAAGCCTGATATATTACAGTGGGTAGTTAAATAAGCAGAAGCATTGTGTGAATCTATAGCAAAGATCTACAAGTCACACCCATCAAGGGAGATGCCTTGATGTTGGTGAGGGGCACTTGATCTAGGGAATTGGATTTGTTCTCCAGTTCCCTGAATTAAGCCTGAATACCTTCCACATCCCCCCTACAGGTGCTGCATAATCCTACAGGTTTAGCACTCCCCCTTTATAATAATAATCCCTGAATTAAGCCTGAATACTCTCCACATCCCCCCACAGGTGCTGCATAATCCTACTGGTTTAACGTTCCCCGTTGATTATTATAATAATTGATGTTGGTGAGTCCCGAGAGAGATTAGTTCTAAGTCTGCACACACAAATCACTCCCCATGAAAGCAAAAGACTCGGCAGGCGATGCAACATCACCCAATGAAAAGCAGGGGCACTATGCGTACACTAAGAAACAACACAATAAATGTCAGGGTCCCCGAGAGTGCTCAACTGCCTCCCAGCATACATAAGGGGGATTTCCAATAGACCACTCGTCTTCAAGAAGGCACTGGACACACCTAAAGACAGTACCTGGCAAGCAAGACTGTGGTTCGTACCCCCTCAAGGAAGGTTCCTTGATGCTGGTGAGGGGCTTTTGATCTAGGGAATTGGATCTGTGCTCCAGTTCCCTGAATTAAGCCTGAATACCTTCCACATCCCCCCACAGGCGCTGTATAATCCTACGGGTTTAGCGCTTCCCCCTTGATTATAATAATGTGGTTCATACATTGTACTGCGTGTGGCCAGCAGTACATAATAGCCTGGTAGTGGACCAGGATGAGTTCAACAAGCTGAAACTGCAAGGGTAGTCAAACAAGTGGCTACTCGAGTTCAATCCAAATGTGTGTGTGAAACCATGCAAATTGGGAAGAGATGAGAACACATGAATATAACCACACAAGCATGATCATGGAGCAAACATGTCACCAGTGGTTCATGTAAACTGTATACCATCAGTAACATAAGTGAGGTTCAAACCTCGAAACTGCGGTCAAGGGCCCTAACAAGAAAAAAAATCAGAACGTTGTATATGACTTATTTTAGGTACCAGTATGTATCATCAACATAGAACTCACACCTGGTCAATCTAGTTCGACAGCGCTGTATGACCCTTGTCAGTTTAGTGCTTTCTTTGATTATAATAATAATCAACCTTGTTCAAAAACTTGACCCCTCAAGGGAGGTTCCTTGATGCTGGTAAGGGGCTCTTGATCTAGGGAATTGGATTTGTGCTCCAGTTCCCTGAATTGAGTGTGAACACCCATCCCCCCACATGAGCTGTATAATTATAATAAAAAACTTGAGAGGGGTTCCAAGGACTGTTAGAAAACTTGTTCCACAGCTGAGAGGATTGTGATGTAAGGAGACTTGGAGAACTAAACCTGATGAACTTAGAAGGGAGAAGGACCATGAGAGACATAATAGTGATATACAAGATAGTCAGAAGTACTTTGGCAAGCAGGCAACTAAAACTAAAAACAGAGGAGCCAGAGGGATGTTACGAACTACTACTTCAGTCTCAGGGTGGTAAATAATTGGAGAGAGCTAGAATAGGTAGGATAGGCTCTGAGAGACTAGGAACCAGTAATGCCAGTGATTGTAGTTCTGTAGCCAGGGCCAGGAGCTGAGACCTTACTACCTCAAATGCATCTCAGTGCGTATAACTCGTTTAATACATAAATGCACTAATCAAGACTTACTAAACAAATAGGTGAACACACACACATGGTGACAGCAAATGTGAGTGGCATGAAAGAATCAAGGAGATGTCCCCAGACGTCATAACAGTCACAGAAACAAAACTCACTGGGACAATAACATGCAATCTTCCCACCCAGACATTAGATCCTGAAGAAGGATAGAAGGAGCAGAGGGGGAGTAGGGGTTGCACTGCTAATTAAAAACTGGTGGGGTTATCAAGAAATGGAAGGAATGGACGAGATTGGAGAAAGGGACTACATAGTATGTACAGTTCAGTCAGGGGAACATAAGGCAGTCATTGCAGTGATGTATAATCCACCACAGAACTGCAGGAGGCCAAGAGAGGAATATGATGAGTACAATAGAGCAATGGTGGACACACTAGCTGAGGTAGAAAGAAGGGCTCACTCAAGTAGAGCGAAGTTACTGGTTATGGGCGACTTCAACCACAGGGAGATTGATTGGGAAAAGCTGGAACCACATGGGAACCCCGAAACATGGAGAGCCAAGATGATGGATGTGGTACTGGCAAACCTCATGCACCAACATGTCAAGGACACTACCAGAGAGAGAGGGGAGGATGAACCAGCAAGACTGGACTTGGTGTTCATCCTCAGTAGCTCAGACATTGAGGACATCACATACGAAAGGCCCCTTGGAGCTAGTGACCACGTGGTTTGAATACATCGTGGAGCTACAAGTGGAGAGGGTAACAGGAGTAGAAAGGGAAAAGGCAAACTATGAAAGGGGATACTACACAGGTATGAGGACCTTCCTGCAGGAGGTTCAGTGGGAACGAAAGTTGGTAAGAAAGTCAGTAAACGAAATGATGGACTTTGTAACAACAAAATGCAATGAGGCAGAGGAAAGGTTTTGTTCCCAAGGGTAACAGAAATAATGGGAAGAACAGAACGAGCCCTTGGTTTACCCAAAGGTGTAGGGAGGCAAAAACTAAGTGCTCTAGAGAATGGAAAAAGTACAGAAGGCAAAGGACTCAGGAAAATAAATAGTTGACGAGCCAGAAACGAGTATGTACAGATAAGGAGGGAGGCCCAACAGCAGTACGACATAGCATCGAAAGTCAAGTCTGACCCGAAACTGCTTTACAGCCACATCAGGAGAAAGACAATAGTCAAGGACCAGGTAACCAGGCTAAGGAAAGAAGGTGGGGAGCTCACAAGAAGTGTGTGAGGAGCTCAACATGAGATTTCAGGAAATATTTACAGTGGAGGCTGAAGGGACACTGCGAAGACAAAACAGTGAGGTACACCAACAATGAATATACCAACAAGTGTTGGGTGAATTACACACAACTGAGGAGGAGGAGGTGAAGAAGCTCCTAAGTGACCTTGATACCTCAAAGGCAGTAGGACCGGACAACATCTCTCTGTGGGTCCTTAGAGAGGGAGTAGAGACACTGTGTGTGCCACTAACCAAAATCTTCAACACTTCCCTTGAAACTGGGCAACTACCTGTAGTATAGAAGATGGCAAATGTAGTCCCCATCTTTAAGGAGACAGAAATTAAGCACTAAATTATAGACCAGTGTCACTGACGTGTATAGTATGCAAAGTCATGGAGAAGATTATCAGGAGGAGAGTGGTGGAACACCTGGAGCGGAACAAGATTATAAACAACAGCCAGCATGGATTCATGGAAGGCAAATCCTGTGTCACAAACCTACTAGAGTTTTATGACAAAGTAACTGAAGTATAAAATGAGAGGGAGGGGTGGGTTGATTGCATTTTCTTGGACTGCAAGAAGGCCTTCGACACAGTTCCTCACAAGACATTAGTACAGAAGCTAGAGGATCAGGCACATATAACAGGAAGGGCACTGCAATGGATCAGAGAATACCTAACAGGGAGGCAATAGCGAGTCATGGTCATGGGCACCTGTGGCAAGCGGGGTCCCACAGGGGTCAGTCCTGGGGCCAGTGATATTCTTGGTATATGTGAACGGCATGACAGAAGGGACAGACTCAGAAGTGTCCCTGTTTGCAGATGATGTGAAATTAATGAGGAGAATTAAATCAGATGCAGACCAAACAGGTCTACAAGAGACCTTGACAGGCTGGATGCATGGTCCAGCAACTGGCTCCTAGAATTCAACCCCGCCAAATGCAAAGCCATAAAGATCGGAGAAGGGCAAAAAAGACTGTAGACAGAGTATAGGATAGGAAGCCAAAGAGTATAGGCTATGAGGCCAAGGAGAAAGATCTAGGAGTGAGTATAATACCGAGTACGTCGCCAGAAGCACACCTTAACCAGGTAACTGTTGCGGCATATGGGCGCTTGGCAAACCTGAGAATAGCGTTCCGGTACCTCAGTAAGGAATCGTTCAAGACTTTATACACTGTGTACGTCAGGCCCATACTGGAGTACGCAGCACCGGTTTGGAACCCACACCTGGTCAAACACGTCAAGAAATTAGAGAAAGTGCAAAGGTTTGCAACAAGACTAGTCCCAGAGCTAAGGGGAATGTCCTAAGAAGAAAGGCTAAGGGAAATCAGTCTGACGACACTGGAGGACAGGAGGGTCAGGGGAGACATGATAACGACATACAAAATACTGCATGGAATAGACAATGGCGGACAGAGACAGGATGTTCCAGAGATGAGACACAGAAACAAGTGGTCACAATTGGAAACTGAAGACTCAGATGAGTCAAAGGAATGTTAGGAAGCATTTCTTCAGTCACAGAGTTGTTAGGAAGTGGAATAGTCTGGCAAGCGATGTAGTGGAGGCAGGAACCATACATAGTTTTAAGACGAGGTATGATAAAGCTCATGGAGCAGGGAGAGGGAGGACCCAGTAGCAGTCAGTGAAGAGGCAGGGCCAAGAGCTGAGTATCGACCCCTGCAACCACAATTAGGTGAGTACAATTAGGTGAGTATTGCAGTAAGACAAGAGAGAGAGGGGTGAGTAGATTGCATTTTCTTGGACTGTAAGAAGGCGTTTGACAGAGTT